AACATTTCATATAATAAGGGCTTGGTGATGATGAACTCCTTGAATTTGATCTTATCTGAGAAGCACTTTATCTGTCCTTCCATTCTAAATGAAAGTTTTGCTGGATAGAATCTTGGTTGTAGGTCTTTGGATTTCATGACTTGGAATACCTCTTTCCAGCCCCTTCTTGCCTGTAAGGTCTCTTTTGAGAAGTCCGCTGACAGTCTGATGGGAACTCCTTTGTAGGTGACTGTCCCCTTATCTCTTGCTGCTTCTAGGATTCTCTCCTTCATTTTAATCTTGGCTAATGTAATGATGATGTGCCTTGGTGTGTTCCTTCTTGGGTCCAACTTCTTTGGTACTCTCTGAGCTTCCTGGATTTCCTGGAAGTCTATTTCCTTTGCCAGATTGGGGAAATTCTCCTTTATTATTTGTTCAAATAAGTTTTCCACTGGTGGCTGTGCCTTTCCCCCTTCTGGTACCCCTATAATTCGGATGTTGGAGAGTTTAAAGATGTCCTGGAGGTTCCTAAACCTCTCCTCATTTTTTCGAATTCTTGCTTCTTCACTCTTTTCTGTTTGGCCATTATTTTCTTTCTTCTGGTCCACTCCCTTGATTTGAGTCCCAGTTTCCTTTTCATCGCTATTGGTTTCCTGTGCAATTCCATTCATTTCAATTAGTTTCGCCTTCATATGTTTCTCTAATTTGTGGCTATAATCAACCAGATCTGTGAGGATCCTGATCACCAGTGTTTTAAACTGTGCGCCTGAGAGTTTTGCTATTTCTTCATTGCTTAGATTTATAGGCTCTGGGGCTTTGAGATCTTCTTGAGCCATTTTTGGTCTGTTCTCGCCCGTTAAGTATGAGTAGCAGAGCCTTGGATTCCCAGGTCGCTGGGTTGTGACGCTGTATGTGGGGGCGTGGTCAGAGCGGGGAAATGGCGGTCCCCTCTGCTGTTTCTCGCAGCTGGGTGAGGAGCAGAGCCTTAGGTGGTTCCCCAGGGCGGGGCCACTCAGGTCGCTGGGTTATGACACTGTAAGTGGAGGCGGGGTCAGAGTGGGGAAAATGGCAGCGCCCTCCACTGCTGCTCGCCACTGGGGCCTGCTGGGACTAGTCCAATCGCCCACTCCCTGGCTTGTCTATCTGTGCACGAATGCGCGACCACAGTCAAATCTCGGCCCTGCTCCCTCGCTGTTTCCCTGCAGTTGCTCGCTCCTTCACTCACTAGGTCCAACCCTGCTCCTGGGTTCCACACACCTGAGTCTGTCCGACCGAATTTTCCTGTGCAACCCCGCTCCGCCAGCTGCTGGTTTCGCCCCTCTTACCGGTTAGGCTGAAGATTTGTTGTTATGAGACTTCCGAAAAGTTGAATTTTCTGTGTTCTGGCTGTGTTTTCTGTTGCTAATATTTAGTTGTCTCTAAACTTGGTTGTGTGAGAAAGCATGGCCTGAAGAAGAATAATTCTATCTCATGGTCTCTGATGCCAGAAAAAGAGAAGAAGTAGCTACCAAGCAATGTGGTCTCGGAGGGAGAGACACAGAGAAAAGAAAGGGGGGCTGGTGGTGGCTGAGGAGAGAAAGTCGTAGACAAGTTTGGAGGAGTTGTGGTGTTTATGAAAAAGGCGAGATTTAACCAAATGAGGATTAAAACTCCTAAAAGAACATCACTTTTATGAGAAGTAAACATTGTAATTGTAAAACAAAAAGAATGATATGTCAATTTTTGATTTGAACTTTTTTTCCTAGGCACACTTTAAAGTAATATACAGGGCGGGGCACAAATAACACCCCCGTTTTATTACAAAATCATAAGCATGCAATTCTGTAGCATAACAATACCACACTCGAGCGCACCCTATGACATTTCAGGTGAAATGTTCAAACTGCTGCCCATCTGGAGCGAGACACTCACACACACCCTACCAATTGCACTCAGGCAGGCCTTGCTTCTGCTGGACCCTGTAGATTACGACTTTGCCAAGTGCAGGTTCTGTGTGAGCCATGTGACTTTGTCAAATCTTCATTAGCTGAGTAGATCCTATTCTCCAAGTAGATTGCTCTGAGAGATGAGAGCAGACTTTATGAAGGTGTCTCCCTGAGAAAATGTCCTGATTGCTGAAGACAAAGCCTATGGTGGGGAGGGGTTCTGCTCCCAGTTTGGTTTTTAGAGGGGAAGACAGAAGGTGGGGGGATGGGCTTGTAACGGTGCTGCTTGGGTTCTGCTGTGGGAAGTGCCTGGTCATTGAAGTGGAAGGGTCAGACCCCCTCCCAGGAATATCTCTGGAATCAAGGAGTCCTCAAGAACCCACACCAGCACCCCAAAAAGAGAAGTCCCCATTAAACTCAAGATGGCACCCTCATCTCCGGCTCTGCTCTTTTGCCCTGTGATCAAATCGCAGTCCCTGCAGAGGAGAGGCAATGGATGCATACAAAACAGCCCTCTTTGGATTTCCCCTCACATTTTGAGGGAGGGCAATGGCAGGATATGCATTTCCACGGTGTCAGTGGGGAGCTGCCGTCTCTCAGCAGGTTCAACTCTATTTGCCGTGACTCCGGTGGCAAGGAGAGTTTTTGTTCTGACGATCAGAATCCCGGCAAATGGTGAGTGTTTCTCCATGCTGAGAAGTGGGAAATTCAATAATACTTTGGCTGGGTTCACGCTGGGTAGCAAAAATAGAATGAATGCCGGGAGGGACTGCGACTTGAGCAATAAATCAGCTGCCTCAGACATTGGCAACTATCGGCCTTGACTCTGAAGCCGTCTCCTGTCTCTACCCCACTCTCCAGGGTCACGGGGCTGTCTTTACGTTTATTCCCAGAGTGTCTGGTGCCGCAATCCTTTTTTTTACCCTCAGAAACAGATTTACGCACTCTGAGATCTTTACAATCGCTGTTCTTCTGCTTCCGCATTATGATGTCACTGCAGGACCAATTGCTGCAAGTCTTTACTACAAGTTATCTTCACGCAAAAGGCAAAGTCGGAGCTTGCACTAATAGTATCACGCATTATGCCTGAACACTTTTTCTTCTGTAGGCAAGTCACAAGTTTCAGAGGGGGGCCCTACAACGGAAGCCCCTGGAAAGCAGGGAGTGCTGTCTGTTTTGTTCATGGCTGTGTCCCCAGGACACAGTGGGTGCTGGAAGGAGCCAACGAAAGAACATTATAGGTTGTGCTCAGCTATGCACCTTCTGAGATGCCGCATACGAAAGCCCGGAGCAAACTCTGTTGTGTGTGATTTTACAGAATGGCTCCGACCTATGATTCCATAGAAAACATGTTAGTAGTTCGTTTCTTTGCAAAAAGCTGTGCCACTAAAACCTGATCATAACAGAAAAACTAGATAGTGTGAATAGCCTGAAGAACATGGCTGTGTTTATACCACTCAGAGATGTAATTACAGCTATGGCTTAAACGTATGTTCTTACCGAGTTTCCTGTGCATGTGGTCATGTGCTTTTATAGTATAAGGTTAGAGCATCATTACTGCTTTTTTCATTTAACAGTATTACACACACCTGTCTTCATCAATAGACATGAATTTATGTTTCCATAGTATCACAGGAGTGTATTGTTAAGAATGACCGGAACTTAACCTATTCCATGGGATTGCACATTGAGGTTGTGCCTAGCCTTTGGCTTGATCATAAACAGCATGCATTTTCCCCTTATTGGAAGGGACTGGCACAGCTGGTTTTTCACGGGGGTGGCCTCCTGTTTAACAGCGCTGCCCCCCAGTCCCAGCTCTGCACGCGGCCTGTGCCTCACACTCCTCTGGGCGCCCTTCGGGGAGGCAGAGAGAGCTGGAGTTCCAGGCAGTGACTCAGCACCTGCTCCATTCACCTAATCACTGCATCTCACCTTTTTGTGATGATTAAGTAACCTGGGTTCACCTTGATTCATCTTTACACCGTCTCATTGGCTACAGGCTTTCCCGAAGGAGTGGGAATCATATAAACGAAATCGCACGGCCTGTGGCTTCTCAGACGGCTGCTCTCACTTAGCACTGGACACATTTAAAATGTATCTTTGTCTTTACACGACTTGACCTCTCTTTCCTTTCAGTGGCTGAATAACATTCCCCTGTGCGAATGTTCTGCAGTTTGTTTCTCCAGTTAACTCTTGAGGGACATCTTCATTGCTTTCAGCCTTTGGCTATTGCTAATAAACTTCTATAACATCCACATGCAGGCTTCCCTGTGGACGTGAGCTCTCACGTCAGCTGGGTAGATGTCTAGGAGCACCGCTGCTGGGTCACACGGCGGGACTATGTCTGCTTCGTAAGAAACTGCCAAACCGTCTTCCAAACAGCAGCTGATCCACTTTGCACTCCCACCAGCAAGATCGCGAGCCCCTCGCCGCAATGGGTGCCACAGCTGTTTCCGTTTTTATTTTACCCGCCCGGATCGGTGTGTAGTACACAGCGCTGTCGTTCTAACCTGCAAATCCCTGGTGAACAAAATTGTGGAGCATCTCTTCTATGCTTTTTCTTGTCATGTGTGTATCTTCTTTGGTGAGGAATCGATTTGCATCTTTTATTTTGGGTATGACAACTGTATGTATATATATATATGTTTTGGGGGGGCAAACCTTTCCCCGAGACGTCCTCTGTTGGAAGCACTTCGGGACCACGTGCTGCTCCACAACCCTGAAGGCTTACCCACAGTGCTAACTGCCGGTTGGGGGCAGGGCTCGGTGCACATCTGTTTGCCTCGCTCTTCCCCAGAGTGACCCCCGACCCCACTCCCTCTCACTTCCTTTCCCCCATCCATTCTTTAGGAAAAACCTCTACGTTCTGGGGTCCTCGCTGTCTGCCTGTAGGAACTGGCCTTTATTTGAAGTGCATGGCCACAGTGGTTAACGTGCTTGTTCATCTCTGGTTCATGTGTCTCACTAAGATTCCCTTGAGCGATTAACTCTGTGTGTTTCCCGGTTTTGAAGGAACCGAGCAGGTGGGGGGGTGAGGTAGTCGGGCTGTGTCACTTCGGGGCTAACGGCTGTCTGTCTTCTTTGCATGGCCTGCAGTCATCAAGCCGCCTCTGCGTCACTTTAAACGCCCTGCTTATGCATCTAGCTCCTACGCACCTTCGGCCCCAAAGAAAGCGGAGGAGCATCCTGCAAGGTACAAGATGCTGGATCAGAGGATCAGAATGAAAAAGATTCAGAACATCTCACACAACTGGAACAGGAAATAGGTCCAGCGGAAGAGAGGGGCCCAGTCTCTGGCTATCAGCGCTCACCAGGCACAGTGAGATGTTCCCCCCCCCACCGCCACCTGACAGCCCTCGAAGTGGGGGCCCTGGGGCTGGTGCAGCCATGGCTGAGGTCACTGGGACACAGTAATATTCCCCTTTACTGTTCTGTCATAGACTCACCGTCTCTGGACTTGGGGATCAGTGCAGACTCCAACCTCAAACCAGTAAGATGCCTGTCTCGTGTGGCTTTTATTGCTGTAAATCTTTCAAAGTCTAAATTGAACCAATATTAAAACAATACGACCTGTTCAGAAAAAAAGTGAAATCCCTCCCCTTGATACCATTGTGATCCCGGACATTCACTTGCTTTCATAAGACTATGGGTTTAACAATCATTGTATGCAAGAAATGCACTTCTGAAGCCATCTTTTCCCATTTTTAATGCAATTATTTAAAATCCAAATAGGCATGTACCTTTCAAGGTAAATGTACAAAACAAAAGGTGTGCTTCTGAGTGAAATCAATCTCAGAGGGAATAGAGACTAAAACTGTGTTCGTAGATACTTCTGGACTCAGGTTTCTCAAAGCAGGGCCAAATTCAAAGTAAGGGCCCCTTGTGTTGGTTTTTCCTGCATGCCTCTGGCCTTGTAGATCCCCGCCAGGCTGAGAGCATTTGCAGAAGCAGCTCTGGGTTCTGCTTTCCTCCCCAGGGGTGTCCAACCTGCGGCCCACGGGCCACATACAGCCCAGAATGGCTGTGAACACAGCCCCACCCAAAGTCGTAAATTTACTTAAAACATGAGATTGTTTTGTGTGTGATTATGTGTTGCGCTGTATTTAATGTGTGGCCCAAGAAAACCCTCTTTCTTCCAGTGTGGCCCAGAGACACCACAAGGTGGGACCCTGATGTAGGCTAACCCTCCCCGCCACGCCGGAAATCCACGAGTCAGATGCCCGTGTCCCGGGGACCAGGTTGGACGTTTACTCCAGCACATGTCCATTTGGTCTCTCGGTCCTGGGGTGGGAAGGCGTTAAATGCTGGACTGACCAGAATGCCCGAACTGCAGGTTTTTCTCCACGAGGTTGAAGATTCCTTGAAGTGACACGTCAGCCCATTTCCTGACAGACCACGGAGCCCTCGGGAGCGCCCTGCCCCCACTGCTGGTGAAGAGTGTAAAACTCGATGCTCTTCCTTGAGGCCTTTGTAGGCCCACTGGGCCTCTCCTAGGGTTTTTACTTTGGGACTAAATTCACAGACGTTGCAAGGAAAGGTTCAAGGTCAGAAATAACTTTGAATCCCTTCAGAAATGGTCTGAGGCAGGGAGAAGAAGTTCAGGTTCATTGGCAGGCAGGTCTGATCTCCAGTCCTGTCCCGTCTATAACTAGTCGTAGGTCCCGGTCTAATGGCACAATCTTTAAGAATGAGTGGGATTCGGCACACTCATGGTGCCTTCTGTGATGAAGACGAAGGCTAAGGTGGGTACCGATCTCTAGAGCCGAGCCTGGGCAGTTACAGAGACGCAGCAGAGGTAACTCTGAAGACTCATCTCCGGGGCAACCTCTCCAGGATGGTCCCCACCCCCACAGAGAAGGCGCCGTGCCCTGATGCCACGGCCTTTGGCGTCTGATGGTAAAGGGTATCCTGTCCTCTCCTTTCATTCTCTGAGGTTCATTTCCAGGAAACCGGTTATGCAATTGAGCCAGCTCCAGAGTTCAGTGCCCATCACGCTTTTGAGCAATTTATTCACAATGTGCTTTCTGAGGGTATTCCAGGGAAATAAGTAAACTCACAGGGTGATCTGATCATAACTCTGTAACTGGGCAGGTCTTGGGGGCAGGCACACCCCAGGCATGTAACTTCTTCTTTTTTTTTTTTTAAGATTTTATTTATTTATCTTTAGAGGGGAAGGGAAGGAGCGAGGGAGAGAAATATCAATGTGTGGTTGCCTCTCACGCATCCCCTGCTGAGAACTGGCCTGCAACCCAAGCTTGTGCCCTGACTGGGAATCGAGCTGCGATATTTTGGTTCGCAGGCCCGCGCTCAATCCACTGAGCTACACCAGCCAGAGAGATGTAACTTCTTTAATAAAACGTCAATCTCTGCCTTAAGCAAGCGCTGTCCCTTGTTCCTGGGCACCCAGGTGAACACGCCTTTGAAAGGCCTCTTTTTCAGACCCCCCTCAGGAGGGCCCACCACCTCGCTCACCACCCGGTAACCCGCCTCCAGGCCGTCTTCCCTGTGTCCCCTCCGTAACCCCAAACGCATGAAAGCAGCTGCAAAGTATCCTCTGGGAAGCATTTTTCTCTGTTGAGATCTTGCTTCCAGGCTTACCCTCTGTTTGACTCACAAAAATGTTACTCTGCTCTTATCAAAAGTGCTTTAAAGTCAATGTTGACGGGAGAACATCCAATCCTGCAAAGATTTTCCAGAGTACTCACAGCTGCGGGAATCACCCAGGCGCGCATGCGCCCTCAGGACGCTCCGTCCTCTCGGGCGTAGAGACTTCACGTGGCCGCGCTTTCTTGGCTATTTCTTGGCGCTGGAAGCCGTGGTCCTGGGGAAGAAAATTGGTTCCCTCTGTTTTCCTCGGTCCCGGCGTGTTGTTTGAGCCCTTGCTAACGTTTTAACTGATCAGGTGCACAGAAATAGAGACCCTGCACTGCTTGTAAAAGGCCCACCATGTTATTCGCATGATGGGCTCTATAGAAATGCCAAATTATGTATTCTTACAGCAAATAAAAAGATGCTTTTAAAGGACTTCCTTGTCTGTGAGTCATTTTTCTCTTCTCCAGAATCCTGGGATGCATCTGAAAAGAGATTTCCCCTTTGGCCCTACTTGGTCCTGAATAGCTTGTCCAGATGAGTAGTATAACTGGCCCTTTTCAGTTGGCTTCCTGATTGTACAGGCAGTAGCTTTAAAAAAGAAGAAGGAAGGGGAGGGGGAGGAGGAGAAGTCCTCTCCAGCACAGACCCGGTGCATTAATTTGTTAATATGAGTAACACAAGTGCAGCCAGTCTAAGGTAAAACACATATGTTATCAGCTGAGGTTTTCATTCCAAGGTTAAGTTGTGCAGCTAGTAGTTAAGAACCGGGAGTGTGGGGTTAGAAAACCCTGCAATTAAATCTTGACTCCTGTCTCCTGTTTGCTTTGTGATCTTAAGCAGGTTTTGTAATCTCTCCGAACGGAGACAATGGCGGGACCTGACTCAGCATAGCCCTAAGGGCTAAGCCTACACTGAGAACTCAACAAATATTAGCTATTATTTCTTGGAGTATATGGGGAAAATACAGTAAAAATAAATACAGTAAATACAATATACATCAATAAAGAAGGCTTTTGCATTTGCCACACAAGCCCCTTACTAGTTCTGTGAATCAGGTAGGTTGTTAATATCCTTCAGCCTCAGTGAAAAGAAGCTAATACTGTAATCATCCTTTAATCATGGATACTTCATCATCAGTCCTCCCGGCTGTCCCCGCAGGAGCTCTGCGCTGTGGGGTCCGGCTGTAATCTGCAGCAGACGCGCCGCGTTCGGCTGGAACCCCGGGCCCCACCGGCCATGCCCCCTTCTCCCCGGGAGGTCTTGGGCCCTCTCTTAGCAGTTTCGGCCGCTCTTGCTCTGGCGTCCACATCCGCCCGGTCCCTGGCCGCCTCCCCGCAGCTGCCGCCTCCCCGCTGTCCTGCTTCACCCCGTTTCCCACGTTCGATTCCAAGTCCCACCGATGCAGCATCCCTCGCTGCGCCCTCTTTCTAATTCTCTGCTGATTCGGCATCTTTTCCTGAGTCAAAATCTCAGTCGACTCAGAAGAAAGAGTATATGAGTAAAGATTGAAGTGTCGTTATACTTGTCTTGAAAAATAAAAGACTTTGTTGTTTATAAGTGACTCTGTTTCCAATGTAGACTCAAAATTCCTAGAGAACAAAGAAATACAGCGCTGGCCCTGCCGATGGCTCAGGGGTTAGAGCGCCGTCTGGATTCACCAAGGTTGTGGGTTCAATCCCCAACCAGGGCACACACAAGACTCAACTAATGAACGCAGGAAATACAGCTCTACACCTTGCAGCCCCGCCCTTCAAAGGTCATCGTTTACCTAAGTCACTCCGACCCACGAACGTGTACCCGCGGAGGCTTCATACGACCCAGAATTTGGGGAACAAAACAAAACACCCGGTGAGTTCTCGTCATTTCCTAGAATAGGGCTAGAAATGAACACGTGGGGTCTTCAGTCCACAGCCTCTCATCTGAAAAGAATTTGAATATTAATCAGCCACATGAAATGCGTGCTGCTTGGCTCATTTCCGGAAACGAGGTTGAAATCAGGATGAGCCGGCGGCGCAAGGACTTGGGCAAGGCACCCCCTTAAAAATGTGTTGGTGTTGGTTTAATTTGAGGGAATCAAGCTGCTGAGCGCGGGTAGAACGCACTCATTTCTCAGGCTGCACTGCCCCCTGGTGTCCTTTCGGGGTGTGGACTCTGCTGAGTTCCAGGGCGTCATTGGCGCTGATTGCTTTTGGCTGCATCAAAGTGCACTCTTCCTAGAATTCTAAAGAGGGGGCAGCTGCGGAGAACACCATTCTCGTGATTATAGTGCCGCTGCATTTCTGTACAGGTTTATTCCATTATCAAGCATACCTGTAAAGAATATTCAACCAGGGGATGAGCTGGGAGACAAACTATAGAAATCCCGGAAAATACAATAAAAAACTCTAAGTGAAAGTCAATGATCAGTGACATGTTATATAGAGAAAAGATAATGATTTAAGCTGCAGTTAATTATATTAATCATCACGTAACTACAGCATCATTCATTTTCACTTAGTATCCCTCGTAGCTAACCTGCTGGCACAGCCTCCACTTCTAAGCCCTTTCCCCTTCTCTTTCTCCTGTCCCTTCCAGAGAGACTGGAAAAGTTAACATTCAGTTGCCCAGCGTTCGGAGATTTAGGGGCGGCCAGGGGACACAGTTTGGGCTCACGAGACCTAAAGTTGCCTCTTCCGTCCGTCCTGCCTGGAGTGCTGGCTCGGCCCGGCTGTACCGCAGCTGCGACCGTTTCGGGTCACAACGCACAGGAAAGTGAAACTCCACATTCTGGAAAGGGCCGGAGTATCACCGAACCGCCACATTCCCTCACCTGACCTTTTGGTACTTAACTACTGACGGGTCAATTCAAAGCCACAGCCAGGGAAACTACCCAGAGTGATACTTTTTATCACAACGTCCATCGAGGCCCTTCCCCCTGGCTGAAACACGCTAGCGGCTTCCCGCGGCTTTCAGAACACGGCCTCTGCGCAAGGGAAGCTGAGGGCCTGCGAGCCATGCCTGCCCGCCTCCGGCCTCCCAACCCCGCCACCTGGGCTCCATGAGCTCCAGCTGCTGGAAATGCCAGCGGTCCTGAAGTTCAGAGCCTCCACGTGCCCTGTTCGCTCTGCTTCAGCTGAGTTCACCCCTGAACCAGGACTGGGGGTGGGGCAGGGACCCAATGCTGAGGCGCAGCGTCAGGGGTATGGTCCTGGGTGGGCTGAGCTGGTTGGTTGGGATGTCACAGCCTGGGCAGAGATTTGCAGACTCTATCTTTCAAGGTCACCATCCCAGAGGACCAGCCATGCTGCTGGTGGAGAAGTGGGAGATGAGAAGGCCAGAGGGCTCAGCAGCCACCCTGCCCTGGGCATGTGCTCCTGGGTGGTCCCCAGGAGCACTCCGGCCTCTGCCCTGGGCTTCTCAGCATCACCACCATCAGCAGACCCACTTCACAGCTCCATGGTTTACCAGAGGCATGACTTTGGACACGCGATGGAATCCTTCAAGAAACTACTTCCTTACCGATTAAGTGCACACGAGGGTAGCGGGAATGCTACATGATAAAATGCACGTAAAGTTCGCAGCGCTGCCTAGAACAGGGTCGATGCCAATTAAGTGGTTGTAATCCCACTGAGCCCACAGGGGATTTAAAAAATATCCTCACCTGAGGATGTCTTTACTGATTTTAGAGAGAGAGAGAGCAAGATAAACATCCATTGCTTGCCTCTCAAATGCGCCCCCTTGTGGGGGTTGAAACTGCAACTCACGCATGTGCCCTCACTGGGAATCAAACTTGCAAACCTTTTGGTGCACAGGACGATGCTCCCACCATCTGAGCCACCCAGCCAGGGCCAGTGAGTGCTTCTTAAAGTAAGAGGAGCACTGATCCCCCCCCCCCCCATGGCATTGATTTTGGGGGCCCAGGAAGGCTCTTTCACCCACTGCCATCTGAAACATTTCCCTGAGCCTGCTGGTGCCTCCGTGAGGCTTCCATAGGTGGCAAACGCAAGGCCCTTGGGCCTCCACCTTGTTTCATCACCTGGGCACCTTGTTTCTACCCAGCCGCAAAGCCGAGCTCTTGCTTAACTGTTAAGGGTAGTTATATTCATACAGTTCTAAAGTTACATCTGGCTCTTTGAAGGCAACCTTGAGGCTGGTGTGGCCCCCAGTGAAAATGAGTTTGACACCCGTGCTCAGCCCATTCAGTTACAGGTGTGACCACTATTAAAAAGTTCTCTAGGAAAGCTGGTGATGTGTGTGCGTCATCAGTGACGTCAGCCGACGGTGTCTTAGAGAACGGGAACTCTTCAAGCATCCTGAGCTACCTCAGCAGACACTGTGTGGCCTGAGCAGAAATTTGCCACTGAGTTTGCAGCATGGGGCCAGCAGGCAGGGGCATCTACAGGGGTGTGGGACGAGGTGCACTTACACCGCTGGGGGTGGAACAGTGAGGGCAGGAGGGGGCCTCTGCCCAAGGGAGCCGGCTCCCGCGGAGCACTCTCTGTGAGGATGTCTCGGTGGGACAGGCTTTCACCACAGCTCCCCGACTCCGCGAGTAGGAGTGGTCGCCTCGTTCCACACATGAGAAAACAGAGGCTCAGTGCCCGCGCTTGAACCCAGGTCAGCCTGACTCCGGCTTCTGTGCCAGCTCCCCGTCGCTGGCGGAGCCTGTGGGTTTCACCCGCCTGAAGGCCTTTCTCCCAGTCGCCCCCTAAGGCTGGTCTCTCAGAAACGCCTGCTCTCCCAGCTGGTTCTTTTCAGACCACACCTGTTTCAAATGTTTCAAATGAAACTGCCTTCATTCCCGCTTTTCCTTCTCAAGGCACGCAGGTCCTCCTCTTGGCGGGCTTGGCTTAGCTGGAAGGAAGTGTGAAGTGATAGCCCCTGGGGCCTATGGCACCTGGTAGGGCGTTGGGGGTGGGGCGGGGAGGCAGTGAGGTGCAGAGGGGAGCAGGGAAGGAAACTCCAGCCCAAAGAGAAAGCCAACAAATTTTTATTGAGCATCTACCATGCTTTTCAGGCATTCCATTCTCTTATTTAACCTACAGAACAGCCCTCTGAGGCAAAGCAAGGCTTAAATTTGTTCATTCCTCTCCTTATTAATAACAACCCAGATCAGTCCGAATGGTTATTGCAGAAAAAAATAGATGAGGGTTTGGGTTTTAGAGTTACTGTGCTATGTCATGATGTATCTGGAGTGGGGACAGCAGTTCCTATGTGACAGACTGAATTCAGACTACGGCTTCGGGGAGGTCAGTTTGAATGACGGAGGAGCCACATTTGTAATTCCAGGCTTCCAAAGGAGCAGTTTTATTGTCTACGAAGACAAAAAGACCAAACTAGGTTCGTAGGTGGTAGCATTCATTGACTTTTTTTCCCCCTGAAGCTATGGCTAGAGTTAGAGGAGTAGTTTGTAATTACAACCTACACCGCGTTCAGCAGCCTCTTCCAAACGC